AGTACAGTACTCGGTACAATTACGAGTACATGTACCAATACTTTTGAGCTCCAAGACTAGACTAGAAAAAAAATCAAAAATTAGGAGGCAGCTGTCATTTGCAAAGATCACACGGAGCTCCTGGGATTTGTACATTTTAATGTACGATTTAGTTTTTATAAATATAAATAAAGGGATGGACAGATACCAGTTTTGCGAGTACGAGTACTGGTACTTGCCGAGTACTTACAAGTACGAGTACCGATACATTTTTGTTTATTGTCATGTGACAATTTTTCGAAAACAATACAGACTAATGATTTCTGGACAGTGGTGGAGCACCAGAGCCAGGTCCCAGCTGCAACCGCTGCAACCCTGGTAGTTCTCATGAAAACGCCAAGTATCTGCACTGGTACTCGAAAAGTATCTGAAACTTGCCACCTTTACCTCTTTAACATTTCCAAACTATGTCCCTTCTTAACCAATAATGCCACCAGCCTACTAATTTACTCCCTTGCCATGTCTCACCACAACTCTTGCAACTCCCTCCTCATTGGCCTACCACCACATAGGCTATTCCCCTTCAGTTTATCATGAGCGCTGCTGTCAGACTCATCCACCTTACCAACCGCTAATTGTCCACCACTTCTCTCTGTCAATCCCTTCACTGGACTTTCACTTGCCCAACAAATAATATTCTGACTGCTGACAACAATGTACAAAGCCTACGACTTTGCCTCAAGCTACATGACCAAACTCGTCTCAAAATATAATTCATCCTCCCTCTTCGCTCCTCCCAAAACCTTCTGCTCTATAGCTCCCTTGTCACATTCTCCCGTGCTCATTTCCAGGACTTTCCTAAAGCATCTTCCATACTCTTTAACTCCCTACCCCAATTTGTCTGGCTATACTATTCTGTCAGCCTTTACGCAAACCCGGAAAACGAATCTCTTTAGAAAAGACTATTCCGCCTTACCTAAAACTGAACTTTTTTTTCTCCATCAACTTATCCCCACACAGCTATTGTATCACTTGCCCCTTCCTTTTTGATTGTAAGCTCTCATGTGCAGTGCCCTCCTAATTTTCTTAAATTGTATTTTAACTGTAGTATCTCCCTTTATAGTGTAAAACGCAGATATCTGTTACCCAACAGTGTGCTTTGGTTCCTTCTTATGGCATCCATTTCACCTTTGTTTCCTTACTGGTGTAGCGGCCAGCAAGATAAACCACAGTGCCCAGTGAGGGACAAGGTGTCTGGCAAACCTGCAAGTGTCAGATACCAGCTGTTACCAAAGTGCTTCAAGAGATCAAAGTTTGGAGTCACCACCCCCACCTTTGTGGTAAGCAATGCATATATACTTTTACAGAGTGACTGTGGTTTGATATGATGGCAAGGACATGTGTCAATAAAGAAATATAGACACTGTCATCGCTAACCTCCTTCTGAAAATGCCATCTGCTTGTCTTGCTCATCCTAGAGTGTCATAATTTCTGAGTCACTAACTCTGAACAAGATTTCCGATGTGTTCAGGTGTCCTGTCTTCCCTTGCAATATGCTCCTTCTAGATCAGTGACTGCCCTTACTGAAAATGACAGCTAATTCTTTGATCCAAGACCTTACACAAGACAATCATTTCTGAAGTTTGTTTCTAACGAGCTTACTGTGTTTCTCTATGTAATATTAAAACGTGTTATCCTTACCACCATAGCTAATGACAGATTGCTCGGCTGATTATGATTTAGCAAATCTGTCTGCTCATATCTGGGGTTCTCTATAAGTAGTTTGTTATTCAATAGTGACTTGCATAGTTTATTGAATTCCAAAGCTAATATGTTAACTTTATTTCAATAGACTTTGAAAAAAAAAGTTGAAAATTCTGTGATGGAGTTTTTATCAATAGAGCTGCCAAGCTCCTACACATTTTATTAAAGTACATTTCAAGATAATGTTTTCTACATAATCACACTGAAGTGGTGAAACAGCCGTCTTTAGAGTTACTGATGGAATGTGTAGGCTGTGCTAACTTAATGCATGTAGCACATCAATGTTTAGCAAATGTCTAATGAAATTTGACAAAAGCTGGTAACGTATCTGTCAATCCGTTACTTGAGATGCTTAATGTATAACTTTCATTTCATCACTTCAGGTTTTTCTCTAATCTTGTTTAGTGCTTGGTTTAAAGCTGAACGATAGGAAAACAAACAACTCCCCTTGCAGGGGAGCTGCCCCCAATCTGCAAGGGTTAAATGCAGTGGTGTAACTATAGCCATAGCGACCCAGGCACCTGAGGAGGAAGGGGGCCCCATTAAGTTGTTGAGGCAAACTAAACATAGAACATGTGAAGATAACGCAGTTACTGTATCATTAAGGGTTGGAGTGGTTGCAGTTGATGACAACCCCTGTAAGGTCTACAGTGTAGCAAAGCTAACATCATGCCCAAGAGGAGTCACAGGTCAGAGAGAGGTTATCAGGTGGGGGCCCCTCCCCCATCATATTTTTGCTATGGGGCCCCATGATCTATAGTTACGCACCTGGTTCAATGCCAAGGATCCTTGGAAAAAAGACTTTTACTTAACTGGCCTCCACTCACACAGACTTCCTCCAGACTACAAGACCGGAGCACAGCCTCTTCTCCTTATCCTTCAGATGTTGAAGGCCCATGGACAATGGAGGGCCCATAGCCATGCAGTATACATGAGGATGCAGAGGGATAGTCCACAAGCCAGAGCAGAAGGGAGATGAGGAGAGCACCAACTGCTGGTGAAGTGGGGATCAGGTAAGTAAAACTGCTTTTTCTGGTACCCTAGACCTAAATAAGCATTTAAACCTTGCAGTGAAGTGGCAGACCCACAGCAAGGGGAGCTTTGTGTGTTCCCCAATTATAGGCTTTAAATAGACTGTAGGAAATATAATTCACCTTTTGGTACATTTACTATGAACTCCAGGCAGATAATTAAGACAAAAAATAATGCAGCTATGTATTAATTAACATATCTTTAAATTTATTTTTTAAACATAAGCAGTGTAAGTACCTGAATTTCACTTGGTATCAGCCTCTTGCTCTCCCTATAGAGATGATCCTTGACTAGGGGAAAGAAAAGCAGCCCATGGAGCCAATCAGCTGCTCTTCAGTGATCATTAACTAACAAGAAACATGCTGATTGGAGAGATGAGATCACCGGTGTGCTGCTTCTCCTTTCACTGTCTAGTCACAGGCTGGGGAAGGGACAAGACCTGTAAGTATTATTGATGTGCAGCAGAGAAAAATCAGGTCTCCTGCCCTGCCTAGCAGAACTGTGCTGTGTGGCAGAGATACCTTATGGCAGTTAAAACAGCTCACCACTGTGCATTTTACTTGGGCATTTAGCTGTTTACCTGGATGTTACCAGAGCCTTGGAAATAATGTACAGTATGTATGCTTTTCTCTTTTTGTACAGTGTATGTGAACTGAAAAAGAGAAGATGTTGTAGGGAACATTTAGAAAAGTTAATCATGCTTAAGCAGTATCCTGAAAAATGTACCTTTTGTCTAGAAGGAGGAGCACAAAACAGTAATTTAACTGCTTCAAGACCAGGTGTTTAGATCCCCTACCTGGCCAGGCCATTTTTCAGTGTTCAGCGCTGCGGTACTTTGACTGACATTTATTCCGTCACGCAACGCTGTACTGAAATGAATTTTATACCATTTTTTGGGGACAGATAGAGCTTTCTTTTGGTGGTATTTAATCACCACTGCGGGTTTTATTTTTTACTATATTCAGGAGAAATTACTGAAAATGTTGAGAAAAAAAAGTTTTTTTTAACATTATGCTATAAAACAACTAATATTACCCACTTTTTTGGTAAAATATAAAAGATGGGGTCACGTCGGGTAAATAGACACCAAACATGTCAAGCGTAAAAATTGCGCGCACTCGCAAAATCGCAAAAAAC